CTAGAAGATAGATCTTAAAGATAACTTATTTAGTAACGATCTTATAAGCTACGTTACCGGTAAGGCAATAGCGGAATCGCTAGATTTATTAACGCTAGGAGAGAATGCTACGGATATTAAAAATATCTCTCTTATAAGAATAAAAATACGATAGAGTATTAACTAGATCTATAAGAACTTAGTTAACTATCTTACCGATCTACGAGTAATTTATTAGTCCCTCGTTAAGCGATATATAATATCGAATAAAGCGCGTCCTCGATAGCTAATCTAAATACTATACGACGTTAGTATATAGATAAATAGAACTATATAGGAGAAGGTCGATAACTTAAAGCGACTTCGAGCTTAGATTAATAGCTAAGATAAGGATATTATTATCTATAAATAGCTATTAATTTACTTCTTATAAATAAGTATAGATAACGCGTTTAATACTATAGTTAAGATCTTAAACGCCTTAATAGAGATATTAATAATAGAAAAGGTATAGAGCTCTTTAGAAAGTAAAGAGTTAGAACTTATTAATACTATAATTAAGGGAGAAACTATATAATTCGCGGGTTATAGCTATAGTATATAGAATAAAGGGAATAATAGGTCTAAAGTATAAGATAGTAGCGATAATAGTAAGGAAGAATATCTAAAGAAAGTAGGGGGGTGCTAGTCTAGGGTAGCAATTAACGTAACTAACTTAACCTTAGCCTTTAGTTAAGTAAGTTAACCGATTAATAAGCTTTTCCTCTATTAAGTTAATTAACCTTAGCCCTATATTAAGTTAGTTAACGTTATATTAATAGTTAACTAGCTCCCTATGCCTTATCTTAGTACTATAATCGCTACCTTAAAGTTAAACGACCTAATATAACTCTACTCCTACCTTACCTCTTCCTCCTATATCTATATTAGTAAACCCTAAAGCTATCCTCTAACTACCTTCTCCTCGACTAGCTCCTTACTTACTACTTTATCCGCCTTATTTAATAGTATTAGATTAACTTCCTCTTTAATACCTACTTATAACTATAACTATAGTACCTAGTAAATAGTAATCGTGCTTACCTTTAGCTAACTCTAAAGAGGCGTTACTATATAACCTACCGCCGAGAATAGCCTTTTATACTTTATACTTATTACTTAAACCGTTATAAAGTCTATAGCTATTCGCGAAAGCCTAAGGTATTAGATTAACTTCCTTTATAATACCCGCTTATAACTATAACTATAGTACTTAGTAAATAGTAATTATACTTACCTCTAGCTAACTTTAAAGAGGCGTTACTATACGACCTACTACTAAGAATAGCCTTTTATACTCTACGCTTATCGCTTAAACCGTTATAAAGTCTATAGCTATTCGCGAAAGCCTAAGGTACTTAAACCGCTATATATGCTAATACTTACGCGGATTATAAATATCGCTATCTATAGGCAATAGGTCCTTTTACTACCTAGTATACTTATCCTCCGCTTTATTAGTATCGTTTTCTTTATAAGGACGTATCTAAGCTTTATCTTAATATTATTTAAATAGAGAATAGTACTATATCTATTAACGCTTTATAGCTAGTTCGTTATAATCCCTTATAAAGATATTTAATATCTTATATTCTCTATCTTAAATAGACTATACTATATCTTTTGCCTTAGAAACCTATATCGGCCGTTTAGACTATACTATCTTAAAATAACCCTATTAATAAGTAGGGTATAGTACTAGTACTATATAATATATCGGAGTCTTATCTAGCTTATTATAGTATCCGTTAAGCTTCTTTTAGCTAAGATTAATATTAGCTTTAAAATACTTAGGGTTAAGATACTTATTAATCTTAGCTTTAGCTTTCTTTAATTCTACTAGTAAGAATTTATATCCTACGATTACGTCCTATATATTACTATAGGACTTAAAATATCCTTACTTACGCTTTTATTAAATCCTATCGCTTTTAAGCGCTTTAACTATATCCTTAAAGCTCTATAAGGTATCCTTAAATATATCTAGAACGGACTAGTTTTTATTATTTAGTTTATTCTCGTCTTAATATATAGTAGGTATAACTACGCTTACCTTAAGCCTCCTTAACCGCTTTAATATATTATTCTTTTCCTATTCTTACTTATACTTTAGGACTAGTATCTCGAGGTAAGGTTAAAGCCTTAAGGCCCGCTAGATTATATATAGCTATAATAGCTAGCCCGTTTCGTTATCGATAACTACCTTAAGGGGCTTCCGAATTCTTACGCTTAGATCCCTAGATATATTAAATACTAGCTACTAGATACTATAGAGAAGTATAGTAAGTAAATTAGATTAATAGATCGTAACTATAAGGTTATAGAGCTTACTAACTAAGCCTCTCTTTTACTAAAGCTTATACTTAGTTATAGCTAAGATATCTCTATATTATAACTAGGACTTAAATATATTAATATCCTTTTTAAAGAGAATAGCTTTAACTATAAGGTTAATTATATAGCTAAAGTAATAGCCTTATTATTCCTTACTAGAGAACCTAAATCTCTCTCCGATAGTATCTATTATAGTATTATTATTCGGTATATTATTACGTATAAAATACCTTATTTTCTTATCTAAGATCTTATATAACTTAAGTATTTTAATAATCTTATATTTAATATTAGCCCTTAAATATCGAACTATTAGCTTAGGCATTCTAAGAATAAGCTTATAGGATTTACTATCTTTATTTTAAAAGAAGTATATAACGCTATATAGAGCGTGCTTATTCCGTAATCCCTAACTATTAAACGAGATATATATTAACTTAGGTAAACGCCTTAATACCTTAATAACCTTCCCCTTATACTTCTTAAATTTAATAATAGCGCGCTTATAAACTATATTATAGCTAATATAAGTATCCGCGCTTATAATAAATAGGTTAAGGTACTTAAAAATAGCCTATAGCTTTATATTTTTACGTTCTTAGAACGATAGGTTACTCTCTACGATCTATTTAACTACTAAATATTAAAAGATATTCCTATTAAAGCTCTTAATAAGGTAATTTATAATAGCTTACTCTTAAGGTATATTTAGATTAAGGTTAAAGGTATCTATTATCGTTTAGTATCTTATAAATAGTTTCTTTTAAGGCGCTAGTATAGAACGTTTTTTAAAAGGATCTTAGATCTTATAATAGTCCTAGAGATACTGCTTAGCGTTTTAAGTACTAATTAAAATTATAATACTAGGCTTTAGCCTATTCCGTTTAATATAAACTTTATAAACCTATCGCCGATCTAAGCCTTTCTTAATATTAAAGCTATACTCCTATACCTATAACTTTATACTTTAGCTTTACTAAGCCTATATATAACTATAGAACTATTAGAATAATCGATCTTTATCTTATTAAGCGGCGCGGGCCTTAGCTAGTATAAACGGCTTAGATATAGATAGAGCTAGTATTAAGGGAGCCGGTAAGAAAGGGGGAGGTAGTACGAAATCTATAGTTACGTATTAAGCGGAAGAAGTAAGGGTCTAGAAAAGTAAGTAGTAAAGGGAGGCTAAGCTAACGCTAGTACTAGAATAATAAAACGTAAGCGAATTATATTAGATATATTAACGCGTTAAGCCTATAACTAGTTAATATATTATATATAGTATATAGATTTATAATATTCCTAGGTATATATAGATATACTCTATAATAAGCACTAACCCCTAAGTATAGTTTAGGCTAAGCTACCCGGTACTAAAATTTCTAAATATCGCGGCGATACTTAATTAACCTTTATTAATATAACTAACTTAATATCGTAATAATATTAAGTTAGTTAATTAGTAAGAATTAGCTCGGTTAAGTTAGGTTAAGTTAGTTAATATTAACCTAGTTAATAACCTCGTGATTAACGTTGCGTTGATCGCCACCCTGCCCACGGCTGTCACGGATAGCTCTCGACTTGCTCTCGATCCCTCCCATGTCCGCAGAGTGCGAGCGTCTCTTTAGTACCACTGGGCAAATGGTGTCACCGCTACGGACTCGATTAGAAGCCAGCATAATAGGGATTACGCAAACGTTACGGTCGTGGGTACGGAACGGCCTAATCGACGCCGTGGATACGTTGATTGACATGTCAGGGGAGAATGCGAATAGCATTATATGGGGTCCAGGGGATGATACTGGACATGCTGCCGGCTAGGGCCCTCGGAGACCCCGTGAGCCGTACGTGGTTCAACGTCTTCAATTCAACTCAATCGCTCCAATCTGAAGGCAGGTGGTTCAACTCAACGGGACCAATGATGAGTAAGCTGTCAACGCAACTCAATGATGAGGCCAAATTGATGGAATTGAATTGATCGCCACCCTGAGATCGCGGAAGTCAGCCCACATGCCTACAGATTGGATGTGCCTGGACGTATCCATCCAGTCTTTCACGTCGATCTACTCCGGCCAGTCCCCGGAGATCCATTGCCTTCGCAGAAAATCGATCAAGAGAGTGCCCCACCGTTGCTATTGGACGGCTAAGAGATATACCTCGTCGAAAGAATTCTAGATAAAAGAATGGAAGGTACGCATAAGAAGGTGCTCGTAAAATGGCATGATTACTCGCAGCCTACGTGGGAACCCCTTCCCACTATTCGATACACTGATGCATGGAAGCAAGGGAAGAAACATAAAAAGAGTGTCACCTTCTCAAGTCATCTTGACACAGATTGCCACGATCCCAAGGAAGAGGAAACGTTGGACGGGAGGGAGGTAATGTAACGGGCAAGCCGCTTTAACGGCGGCTGCGCCGCCTAGCTTCTAGAACCTTCCATTGGCTCGAAGCTATAAAATGCCGTTATGCTCTTATGTAGTAGATTCTCTTTCTTTCCTCCTTTCTTCTGTATCTTGATAGTAAACAGCATAGAGACTAGTTAGTTGTATCAACTCACTAGAGGCCTTTCACAGTCGGGTACTCACGTCTTTGATAAAGTGCGGAAGGCAGGGCATACACTCGCACTTAATGGCATTACTGCATCGGACGAGATGCGCCGTCTCAAAGAGAAGCAGCTCGAGCGGCTCGCACTAAAAGAGAAGGCGCAAATTATAGGCAAATACGGGCCATTAAGCGTCTATGACACCAGAGTTAGGGTGGCGAAAGACGAATACAATAGACGCGCCGCTCGGGAAGATGAAGATTGCCGTTTAAGAAGAAAGGATGCACGCGCCGAGGCAGCTTTCCTACGACGATGGATTCGTGATGTTCGCGCAGTTGTTCGGAATAGCATCACGAAAACGACGATTAAGCGCGCCTGGCAGCAAGGCGGCTGGAGCAAGGCCGACCGCCGCGCTCATCTTGATCACACAGAGTGGCTTTGCGACCGTTATCTTATGCTTCGTCAACTCCGCGATATTCGTGGCGATAGCTTCATTGCTGGGCCTTGTGCCTGGCCACAAGACTTCAATGACGAGATCGTTCGCGATAGCATCACATTTATGCTCCAAGAGGCAACTGACGGAGCTGCCAGCCGCCGAGCGCTTGCACAAGAGGCAGACGGCCTCGAATTTACAGCTATTGATGCTGACGGCGATGGCCGCAAGGAAGACGAAGTTAACGATACAATTGTGTGTGCCTCGTGGCGCGGCGATGATGAGATTCCCGATAATTAGGTGCCGCCAGCTCGAGCGAGTAATTTATGCACCAAATAGAGCAATGCAGTTATGTTAGATGACTTTGTTTCCTTGCTAAAAAAGCGGGTGCTGCAGGTATCCTTTTTTTCCCGGTCGGCGACCCGTTTCTTAGTCAATGAGCCCCCCCTCCTCTGTGGAGTGGAGGAGGGGGATTGTGGCCGATTTTTAGGCCCCCCAAATATAAGAGAGATAGATTTCTTTCATTAGATAGAAGTCAAGAGTCTTTCATTGCCCGATTCACAGGGGGTCTTCTTCCCGATCGCCGCTCAGTCATCCATACTGCCCGTGCATCTTGTTGTGTGACACTCTCACTCAATGCAACGACCTACCGGTAATAACTAGTAATATCCCACCTCACAACTCCGTTCACATAATATGTGGCCGTAACTGCCTGACACGTCCCCATCTCAGCCCCATAAGCACTATATTTATCGCTGCAGCACGAACTCATCGTCGGCGTCCTTCGGCAAGAGGTACGTGAGCTCAGCCCGTCGATATCGTTCGCCCCTGCGTCCGCATGGAAATGGCGGTTATCAATGTCCAAGGACTTTGGCGACTCTAGGCTTAAAAGGTTGAGTTGGTAGCCCATTTGTAGCGGTCTCAACTAAATATATTGACAACTAGCTAAGCAACTGCAACGAGAATCCTAAAGCTAGAGAGAGGAAGAAAAAGAGAAAACCCCGAAAGTGGCGCAGGCTTCTGAGCGGGGCTCTGGAACTCGTTTAGGTCTTATCGAGAGCGGAGCCGAGACCCCTACGGGGCCTAGCCCGTTACACTATTGCGGCGCGAGAACTTTAATAGACGAATGGGACCAGGTTCTTAAAGAGGAGCGGCCCTGCGAGATGGAGGAGATGGATGGCCTGGGCATGTACACATGCATTTTGGCGGCCCTGGAAACGGAGAGTTTGGTGATGATGGACTCTCTGGACCACCCGGCGGGTTCGGGATACCTGTGCCTAAAAGCTGATTTGGGATGCCGGAGCTCCAGGGATATGGTGGACCCGGGAGCTTTGGTTTACAGCCTGGTCGCAAGGGCCTTGGCGGAGGTGGTGAAGGCGGAGTGTTGTTTGAGTCTGATTTCGGGGAGCCTCCTGTTCGGTTGCCCTTGTCGCCTCCAGTTGGAGCACCCGCGCCATCTGCGGCCTTGCGCATGAGCGCGACCTGGCGCACCTCGGCTTTCCGGCTTGATTCAAACTCATATGCAGGATGCTCACTGGTATCCTTAGGTTAGAAGAGAATACTGACGTCTAAAATCTTAGCAGAGGAGAATACGTATACATACTTGGTACTAGCGGCCATGATGTTTGCTACGTTCGAACGAGGACTGGTTTCTGAGTGCTTAAGTCCAAACCAGTGACCACACTCGTGAACCATTATTATCTTGTCGATCTCGGAAAATGTGCCTTCACGAGTCAGGAGGACCATAGCACAATGCGGTCCATCATGTTCCGGATGCGCCTGCTTAGTAAAGTCCTGAGGAGGATCAAGAGTAAATCCCTTAATGTCAAAAGTATCGGAATTTGTTAATAAGAAGAGATAATTGAGGGTACTCTGGCCACCTTCGCGTACTGACGCCATGATGTCATGTGAGTTTAGAGCGCCGATATCGGTATTTAAACACCTAGGGTCGCTGAATTGGTGAAATTTTTTCAGGTCGAAGCTGATTTGGAACTGTGCAAACTTTTCATTCAGCTTGCCTACCATCTGTTTTACTCCGTCTTCCTGCGTACCTGGTTAGTCCTCGACCTTAAAGGTAAATATACCGTAGGGGGTCTTACCGTTCCGCAAAGAACTCCAGGAGGACAGCATAGGTGAGCGACCACATCGAAGTTGATGTTTTGGCCGGTATCAGCCTGGGGGGGAAGAATCCCGAGGGGGGACTCCCTGGGGGTGATGCTGAGGCTTTCTTCTCCATCTCCCATTGAGTAAGTCGTCGCAACTGTAGCGAAAAGGCCGATAACGACGGACAATAGCGCTGCCATTGTTTTTGTCAGGTTCATTGCAGTTAGAGAGGGGCGGGAAGCTGGGGGTGTCTTCGAGGCTGGATAGAAAATATCTATTATTGAGATGGTAAGATTAACTCGAGGCTTAACCTTTCCTTTTTATAGATAGATACCTCTACTCTCGGCGTCTTAGCCAGGTAGCATAATCTGGTTCTTACCTAGACTGAAACCTTTCATGCAGGGTGCACTTATCGTGACCCCATCTTATGCAAAGCCTTCACTTGTGGGACCGACCTTAGGGTCCTCAGCCGAAAAGTCGGCCAAAAGAGATGCTGCAACGCGCGGGAGAGGAAAATAACCTCGGACGGACACGGTTGGGGTAAGAGCGGGCCGAATGACTCCAAGTAAGCTCGCTCGGGGCGCCACGAGTTGAAATATTCGTCCCATCTCGGTGGCCGGATCGCATGGCTGACCAAAGTGAACGGCAGATGAAGAAGCTTTCGGCGCTGCGGTTGCGTCAGCAATGCAGATGAATACGTCCGCAGGCGATCTATTATTGTGTCTAGGAAGGACAAGGACGTCGCCGACCCCAGTTGAGTTACCGGATTTTCAAGAGGGCTGAGTGATTACCCGAGGCTGTCTTGGATGGCTCTTGACGTCCTGACGATGCCAGCGATACTTGCCGGCAACGTACGGCCTCCACACAATGCGTTTCAGATACCACCTTCGTCTCCCATTACAATTCCATGCGTTCTGGAGACCGCTAAGGGAGTTCGGGCGGCGGAACCGGGTCCACATAACTAAATTTATGTAGTGGGCCACTGAAATAACTAAAAGGAGGACTGGTTCCCAGGGGAAGAAGAGTAGATGTTGCAGGGATGATGGATGCCTAGCTGTCAAGGGCATATAAGGCTACACGGTTTGTTTGTCAACACATGAGATCATCCTGTAATTTACTTACATATGAGTCGGACGTTTCATTCAGTTGATATTTATGCGAGGTGATAGGTTGCTCCTTGCAGAGACTGGACTAAAAGGTGATGTCACACACAGACCACATGCCATAACAGTCAGTTGCGCACCACTTGCTGGAGCGCGCGTTCTACTTTTGGTGCAACAGGTGAACATGCGCAGGGTGCATGGCGGCAGCAAGGAAGAAAACCAGACGATTTGTCGATCTGTGGAGGAGTCATGAGTGTGCCGCCGATTGGGCCGGGATAGAGATTGTAAGACGTCGCAGCTAAGTGGGTTCCGCGATCCTTGGTAGGTTAACCGATGGCGAGATGGTTTCAGACGACTGATAAGGTGCGCGTTCTTACCCCGCAGACTCCAAACGTCCCCCTAGCGCGTCCCACCCGCGCCCTAAGCATCGATTGCCCAAGAACCGATCAACAATGGCCTCAATAACGTTTGCCGCAGATGTCCTCCCACCGGAAGGCGTATACGAATCCCGAGAGGCTTTGTTCAAGGCGATCAACAATTGGGCAGAGTCTCGAGGGTATGCATTTACGACGGGTAAATCGTCGAAGACCCCGAACGGCCGGGTCAAAATCGTCTACGCGTGCGATCGAAACAGACTACCACCGAGCAATACAGTCGAGCGAGTACGTCGCACCGCGAGTCGGAAAACCGGCTGCAAGTTCTTAGTGCTGGCCAAAAAGTCACTAGATGGAAGCACGTGGATCCTTGGTCATCGGCCAGACAAAGATTGTGCTGAGCATAATCACCCGCTAAGCGAGGACCCCATCGGCGCACATAAATACATACGTGCGAGTTTCTCAATAACTACGAGCGCCTCCAGATATCTCCGGAGTACTGTTTGAATCAGTTCGAGGCTAGGTGTCGCATCGGGCACTACGCGAGGTAAGTTACAAGAACAGCGGCAGCTGCACATGCACCCTAGTCATGGTCCTTGCAGCCAGACATTTACATCCTTGTATGGACTACCCTGTTCGCATACCTTGCAAAAACTAGAGGAAGAAGGACATCAAAATCTGCGAACATCGCGGCGATACCTTGCACCTTCTTTTGTCATCATACTTTCTTGGCATGCAATTGTTAAGAAAGTAGCGTAGTCTCAACCGAATTGCTTAACATCTGCATCTCAAAGCCATTGAGCCGCGCTTTGCGCTGGCTTTGGCAGCGTCCATGTTGAAACGTTTTGTTGCCAATGCGAACTGTATTGTCGCCCGTACAGCCCCCATATCGGGCTGCCACTTGTCGTCGTCTGACTCTGCCTTGCCTCCTAGGAAGAAAGACAGGTTTCCCATCTTTCCGCGAGCATATCGAAGCATGATTTCTCGTTGTACCGTCCATCTTCTGCATCGAAAGAGGAAATGTTCCACCGTTTCCGCCGACTGTCCGCAGGTGCAGTCATCCGATTCCTCTGCCCCGATTTTGCAAAGGTAGCCATTCAGTCGTGATTTGCCAGTTCGAAGTTGTACCAACACTTCAGATTCCTTTCTAGTTAGCTCGTCGTACATCTTGCGGGTGAATTTCTCGTCTTTCGGTGGCGCGAGTTTGCGAGTGCCAATAAAGTGGGACCGTGGTACGCGATGGTTACAGCAATTCTAGGGCAGGGGTCGAAATTTTAGTGCTGCGGTGGCGTGGGCTTAGCTCCCGGGTTTAAACCTGGTCAGGTGGGGCGCGGAGATTGTACCCGTTGGCTAGTGCCATCGTAAGCCAACTTGGGGCCACAAAAGTTGTGGACATGCAGAAAACCCTAAGACAGCCGCGCACGGGCCCACTATCGTAGCACCGCGTTTTTAGTGCATCTTCCCACCAAAACTCGAGACCGCATGATACTTACTCATGACGTATTTCTACGTCGCCAACGCGCAATGTATTCCCAAATCGCTATTGCAAGGGCTATAAAGCCTGTTCTTGAGTCTCGCAAGAGCTTCGAAACAGGGAGCCGCCGCCAAACGCGCAAATTCAGGCAAAATTTCTTCAGTTTCTACGGCAACAGAAGTTCGGTACGTTTTTTTTTCTTATAGGGGTTGCTTTAGCGCGGCACACAACGTTCAAAAGATTCCT